TTAGTGGTGGCTCGACCAGCTCTAGCTGCACATGAGTTCACAGGTTTCACCTCAGTGAACCTTGTAAACCGGAACTGGTGAAGCAGCAAAAGCGCAAAATGTCCCCTACCCCCTAGTCGAACTGTGACCCTAATTGCTTATACTTTTATGAATACGGAGTTACGTAAGACTCCGAGGTGGGTGAAGCACTTTTCGCGAAGTTCGCAGACCCTTCTGGCGCCGAGGTATTTGTTCATCCACCCGGAGCCCATTATCCTCCCTACGCTTGGATGTGCAAAAACATATCCTCAATTTTTCAGGTGTGCTATGCTGGAGTTTGTCTTACAGATCGCGAAGTTACGAATACGAAACAAGCCAGAGTTACCAATGGAATTAAAGATACCAGTTTGTTTCCAGGTTAGCAATTTGTGAAGCTTAGAGTGCGTTCATACATTTCGTCGGCATTTTGACCATACGCAGCGTTTCGAGATTACGCCTGAGTTTAGAGTATTTTGAGCTTATGGGAAATTAAGGTATCGATCTAGCGTACTCTGCTAGCCTCCTGTTCCCAATCCCTCTAATCACCGCTCCTGGTCGTTGAAATGCTGGTGTGCTCTGGAACGCTAGTTTGATATAGTGTAGTTCGCTGCGGACGGTTGGGCGTGTCAGGCGGGATGAGTTTGGCGCGGTGCCAAACCCGTTCTCCACCAGTTGTTAAAGCGAGCAAATGATATGACTGTATCATCGTTCGTATTACTCGTTTTTACTTTTTGTCGCATGCGCGCTTCAACAAGAAGGCAGAGAACGGCTTGATGGGGTGACACACTCATACTGCCTGACACGCCCAACCGTCCGCAGCGAACTAGAGTGTATACTTTTCTAGTCGGTCAAAGCGCTGGCATGCGCTCGTAACGCTGCATGACCGCAGTGTATTTCTTTCCACGGCTAGCGTACTTAAAAGGGCCACTTTCCCGTGGAAAGTCCCATTGCGACACTGGTTGTCATCATTTCCTTCATATCACTAGGTAGTGATGCCTTTTGCTCGATGCTCAGCTTTTTTTTGGAATGGCGCGGGCGATCACAGTTGCTGTAGTTGCCCCACCCTATAAGTATGCCCCCTTTCAGTGTCCTCGAAGCCTTTGGGGTGCCATAGCATTAGCTTGTTCAGAGTTCGCTTTCGGGGATCTTATTCTGTTTGAGAAGTGTTGAATAGAGATGGTGGCGCGTGAATAGCTCACCTTATGCGCAGTCCCTGGGTCACATTCCGGATCGGCTTCGTCTGGGCAAACCGAACCTTGCATCGCTTTAAGGCCGATGAGTTGGTGTTAAGCTTGTCTAGGAGGACAGAAACATTGATCTGTACATCAGCTGACTCCCGCAAGTCATTGCATAGATGATGAAGGTCTTCGCCGTTACCTTTATGGAATGCGGATACGCATTCTACTTCCATTCAGAATCGTAGTGGCTTATTGAATGCGATGTGGCCTATACAATGACTTGCGGCCGATGTACAAGTCAGTGTTTTATCCTCCCAGACGAATCTGGTACCAATTTACCGTCCCCGGAGGGTAGAAGGCTTGGTTGGCCTGGGCGGGAGTCGACCGTAAGATTTGCTCTCGAGACAGCGCGCGTGGTAAGCGTACCCCTTGTCAAGGGGGACAAGCTGAAAGTTGTGATATAAAGGCGGCGGAGTGCTGATACGAAGCGAATTACCATAGCACTAAAACCAAAGCAGTAAACGTTTAATGACCTGTTCCATCCAAGGGATGACGTATTGTGAATGCCTTGCAGTATCAAAAAGAGTCTAAGGATCCATCAGCTAACTAAGATAATGAGTGCTTTTTCTTCTTGGATGTTGAAAGGGGTATTTTGTAAGGAACAAGTTCCTACAGACGTCATCTCTTTTGCAGCCATCAGTAAGCTGTTTGTTCTTCTTTTTTCACCGTGGTAAGTCCATAGATTAGTGATGTTTAATGTTTATACACGGGCTGCATTGACGTCATACTTTCTTAATGAGATGTCACCTTTTGTTTTTGTTTTCGTAGTTTTTTTTCTGATATCTACTGTGGAAGCAGTCCTCCTCCCTCGACAATATTATTAGACACAACTAGACCTCAGTAACACATATAGGATCTTTGAAGTAAGCCCCGTCACCACCCATTAATACCAATCGAATTTGACAGCAAATTTTTTGGCCAACCGAAAAGGTGAATTGGGCATTGGCTGGCTCTGCAAAGAATTGCAATAATGTATTGAGTATAAGCTATTCGTTGCCCAACCAATTTAAATGCAAATGTGGCACTGTTGAAAGGCTACTGCTCCCCTTTTTAGAATTCAGTCCGATTTTTAGCGAGCTTCTCCCTGGTGGCAGGTTTTTCTAGGAACTTGTTCCCAGAAGTTGTTCGACCTCAGAACGCGAATATTGCATCCGCTCGACTCCTTCCTACTCGCATGGGCGAGGGCGTCAGAAAACCTCAATAAACCAAGCTCCGCTGAATCTCCCCCCCCCAATCGGCTGGAATGACGCGCTAGTACGTTGTGCCGCCGGCGCTAGATTTTAACGAGATTGTGGTGCGCATTAGGCTCGCGCAACAGAGATCGTGGCTTCCAAAGCGGGCTTGATTTCCTCGTCCTAGGTAGGCTACTTACAGGACCAAACTTTGGCTAAATTGCATTGAAAAAGAATTCGTATTCTGGGGTATAAGGCGCATTCCGCAGAGTCGCACGTGACAACGGCGCGAAAAGTTGGTAGACACAGCAAAAGTTTCCCGGTCTTTTTTTTGTATAGTGTAATCTTCCAACTGGTTTTCAAACACGTCTCATTGAACAAGGGTAATTAATATGAATAAGAACGAATGAAAACACGCCAAAGTAAGGGGAGGAAGGAAAATTAGAGGCCTTAGAAGCAAAGATGCGCTCTATACTCCAGAAAAGAGGGATATGCACTGGGTGGAATATGGTTGGGTGGCACATTCTAGAAGGATTGATCAGCGTAATTTGATGCAAATGGAACCGTTATAGTTGAGGGAAGGAGTCGTAGAGGAAAGGCAGGACTCTTCCGAAGAAAATTTATATGTCCAAATCCCAGCAAGGTTTTTATCGAATTAATGATGCATATAACGGGGTCACGGAAAAGTTTCCGAAGTTGATCAATACTTTTTGGCTCGCGCCAGCTTTGTACTTCAAATGAGAATCGTCATGAGACTTTATATTGCGATTTGGACTATAAAGTGACCTATGAGGCCAGCCAGTGTGAATTTTTGGCCTTTAATCTTCATAGGCAATAAAGGCGGAGAAACGAATTTTTTTGAAAAAAGAAATGGGCGCTGTTATTCTCGGCGGGTCTTTTTGCTGGTTCACAGGGACATGACCTTCGCCTTCTGTAGGAACATGTGACCCTGCTATGCACCTGGATGAGCTTCGTTTACTTTTGACAAGGGGCTACAGGTCTCACCTTACAAGGAAGGTAGTTGAAATCAGAGCTTTTTAAAACGGTTTGTTGCATGATGTAGGGGTCCATGCAAGGACCACACAGATGGGGTTCATTTTTGCTAAACGGTATTGGGAATGCCAAAAAAAGGGTCGAAAAAATTCGAAAAGATGGGCGATTTGAACCACCTTATTCAGCTCCGTTCTAGCTGTATCGTTGAGAGTGTATAGTTTATGAGGTGAACTGTGAGTAGACATGAAAAACGCAGAAGAAGGTCAAAATCCAAGTACTTTACCTGGCACCGTAGATTGAGAGTCCGTCGCACTATCCACTACACCATCCGTCCACTGCGACGGGTGAGATGCGGGAGCCATTGAAGAAGCATGCGGGGATGACGATGAAACTTCAATGTAGCTCACCACATGCCAGGTAAAGTACTTGGATTTTGACCTTCTTCTGCGCTATTTTTCATGTCTACTCAAAGTTCACCTCTGTACTCTCAACGATACAGTTAGAACGGAGCTGAATAAGGTGGTTTGAATCGGCAATTCGCTTCGAATATTTTACCACCTTTTTAGGCATTCCCAATGACGCTCAGCAAAAATGAACCCCATGTGTGGCCTTGCGTGGACCCCTACCTGCAACAAACCGTTTTTGAAGCTCACCACGACCTGAACGAAGCCTTGTTAGTTTATGTGTAAGTTAAGGGGAATAGTAAAGAAAACTGGCGAACTAATGAAATGCTCTCCACGACAGGTCCCATAGAGATAAAGTTATGGGTGGTCCGTTTCGCCTGTCATATAAACAAACCATTTTCGTCTTTTTCACGGATCTGATACTAATTAGAGGAAGTAATGGAAGTTTCCATTGGCCTGTGCCAGAGGCGCTCCGAGGTTTGACTTCTAGCAACTAGTTGAAGGTTCTGCATCAGTGGCTGTAAAGGGACGTTCTTGTGTAGAGGTTGTTCTTACATATGCATTTTATTTTGAAGTTAAAACCACATTGCTTGGAGATAAAAATAGTGCGCCCTGGACTGAGGACGAATCTTGATAAGTGTAATTTTCTCACAGTTGAGGTGGTTTTACTATTGCATTTCGCGAAGCTACCATGTTTCAGGATATGAGGTTTCCGGCGTCGTAGAATCATTTGGTACGGAGTGTACTCCTGAAGAATACGATCTAAAAATCGGCGATAAGGTTAGCGAGTATTTGTGCAGCACTTGCATTTTCACCAATCACTGTTTTTAAAACGCAGTGGGCACGATGGCTGGGGCGGGCAGTTACTATCAACGTCATCGGAAGTGCTGCGAGAGGGGCGTGTGGCCACACTTCGCGCAATTCTTCCACCAATGATGTTGGCAGTAACCGCCCGCCTTCAGCCATCGCGCTCACTACCATTAAGTTTGTTCAAGGAAGACAGCACAAGCACGCATTGTTTCAAAGTTTCAGTGGAATTTCAGTGATGTAATTTTATAATTTTGAATTTCAGTGATGTAATTTTATAATTTTTCAACATAGAAAGACAGGCAATTGTAGTTCATCCAGAATATAACCATTGTTTTGTCTAGGTTATTGTGTGGCCAACGGATGAGATGTGCAGTCATGGTTATGCTGATTATGTGGCTGTTCCGACACTCCATTTCCTTGTCAAGATACCCGATTCCCTTTCGATGCATGTTGCTTCGATTCTGCCAGCCGGAGCCACGTGGGCGTTAAGTGCTGTGCTGCAGGTAGATGCTTCGAATGATGCTGTGCCCATAATGCGTTATTGATTTTTGTGCCATATGTGGGAATTTTATTGAGATCCTACACTCGGTTGTAGGCTCGCCCAATTGTCGACGCTTTCGCACAATCGAAGGGATTCTGTAACATTTTGATCGTTCAAAGAAAAAAAAATTCACCTCCATACTTCTCTGGTTCCTGACACCACCGCCCCCCCCCCCTCCTCTCCTAGCCTCTATGAAACCATTACCAAGGAACAAGGTAATGGATGAGACAGGAGAAAGGAAGTTACATCGTCCGACATCACGACATGCTGTATAGCAAGCCTAGGTTCAGTCTTTACATGTCGCTTTCAGGTCCGCAAAAGAGATATGATGCTCCTCTGCGCGGTAACATCCTTGCCCTAATGTCGTTATCTAGACAAAACTTAGAGTGCGAGAACACAATGAATTAATCAGCTTGTTAGGTCTAACTGGTGAAGTTAGACTAGATAAATGTTGTATATACACTATAAGCGATTTCCTACCGATAATAATAGAACTGACTTTACTCTACAGAATTAGGGGGCTCCACAATAGACCCTCATAATTCTAATACACCATGCATATATAAGAGAGATTAAAGCTACCTCACATGCAAAAAAATGATAGTTCCGGCCGCTGGAGTGTATCAGTTATCACACACTGGCATGAGAAGATAGCGAAGATGAGTCACTTTGATCGCTCATAAACTGTTCCTAAATGCGTTCCAACGACCACCATTTACGCACAGATGCTCACTGAGTGTGGAAAAAGATAAAGACAGAGCATTTTGTGACATGTCTCGCCTTGTGTAAGGAGAGTACAGCTTGAATTCAGCAGTGCTTTAGTTACCCGCCGGTGAGAGGACACCCGATAGATGATGGGCCGATGGAAGTTGTCGGTGAACCGGGTAGCACAGACACTGGCGCAAGTTGTGAGATGAAGGTGTGAGCCGTGTGCTCATTTCGCCAAGATGCGAACACGACACACTAGCCAACGGATAAAACCAAAAACGCCACAAGAGACAGATGAAATCATGCAGTTAATTTTGCAAATTGATACTACGTTGCACACGAATGAATCGTGTAGCGGTTACCCGGTTGCGAGCAGTGCCTGCACTAAACCTCTTCTGCAGACAGCTTCCAATTCCGCAAGGCGACCACTGAAGCTCAGGAGCCATACATCGTCGTCAGTGTTGGGTGATGGACAAAAATCAAAGAAACAGTAACACCGGGTAATACGCCTCGCGCACACAACTCTTGGGCCATCTCCTGTAGTGAGCACAATGATCACGCTAGCGTCTCCCGAACGCCTAGTGAAATAATTACAACACAGAAACAAGCAAACCCTACGATTGACATTATATACATTATTCACTAGAAAAGAAGGCTGCGAAGACCGGTGCTCTTCATGGCGTCAGCCTAACGGGAGGGCACATGCTCCTGAAAAGAAACGCTACCTGCGCACTGCCACACGTAATGCCTACCTATAGGCAGCGAAAATCATATATATCTGATTGCCGAAGTAAACTGGAGAGCAGGTTCATAAATTGGGAACTAATTGTTGGAAAACATTCCTTTATCGCTTCACAATGTACTAGAGCTTTATCTTACTACTCCTAAACACCTTCTCGGCCCGCTTATTTGATTATTTTTCACAGTTCACAAGTTAACATTGGATAGACTAAATAGCCCTCCCTCAGTCGCTTTAAGAAAGGGAAAACGTACAAAGGCCTGACCCGGACTGTCCGCCTCTTTTGCCCGGCACAGGCCGCGCAACCCACTAGCAGCCGAACTGCCCTGTTCTAGCAGATGGCCACCACACCAACCCATCATAAGATCCGGGTAGTTTATTTCTTTTCAGGTCTCGCGCGGTTCCGATTTATACCCTTTTCTGGTAGTATCGCGCAATCCATTCATTAATCGCTGCAGCAGATAAAAAAGGGTCTAAGTGAGCCCTCCCAACGTCCACTATGGCCCAGAACACTCGATAGAACCTGAGTCCTAGGAAGGGATGATGTCCCATATATTGGGGGACTAATTTAAAGTAGATTTCACTAGTTAGGTGCAACAGGGCTAACCAAGTAGGGAAAAAAGAAATTTTACTATCTATCCGACAGCAAGTAAGGTGTTGCAACGATATCAGTTTGCCATGTATAGCTCGTCTGGCATCAATAAAAAGTGCCGCGCGACAACTCATTATGGTGACCCAGCGACGCAGTTTAAGGCAGTGTCTTCTGCGAGTTTCAATAATGACCTTTTTCCCATATTGTGTAGGGAAACCTTGCTTACCACGCGGTAAATTTAGCGTACGATGTTCCACTTTTGAACGCCGCCCCTTATTTGGACCGAATTTTGATAACCTTCCGTGGCGCTATGTGCGGGATTGTGCTGCATTGCTCCCACCTTACTCATAAGCAAGCATAAAAAAAAGTAGGCTACGGAACTGGTCACAAACGTTCCCACACTGAGAACTTCTGGTCTGACGAGCTCGGAGAAGTCTATGCGTCTCGATCGAAATCGAATAGTGCTCTCGAAGGGTTATTGCATATGGACGTATACCTGTGTGAATATCACGCTGACTCTGAGAGAAGTGCTACCGAGGACCCTCTCCAGACGAGTTGTGGAAAGTCGATTCGGTCTCAGCCCTAGCGGGCCTCAGTGGTAGTAGGGCGTGTTTCTCTCTTGTGTTATATTCGTTAATCACCACAGCCAAAGTTACGCGCGACCTTTTCGTCCGCAACCGTGACAAATTAGCCATTTTGCAAGGCGTTTACGTCTATTATTTTGTCTAGATCCACGATTTGCTTCCAGCAAGCGAAAGTTTGCTGATCTCTATGGTCCGAGCTCCTAGTAAGGGAGAGGCTTTCTAGACTCATTCAATATAGTTATACATAGAAAAGTAATTTTTATCACTCAGTAGAAGTATCGGAAACAGCCCACAGAGGCAAAGGTAAGTTAGGTACAATAATTATTAATATTGAACGTCTGAAACTCTAAGATTTAAAAAAGTAAGATTGAGTTTTAGAAGTTAATAGAGAAAGAAAGACTGCATCAGAACTCAGTAGATTTAGTAATTGACTATAGTAGAAAAATAAAAGGGAATATAAAAAAAGATATCGAAAGTTTTGGAAATTGAGAAGTAGAATTGAAAAGAGAGATTATATAGATTTAGTAAAGTATTAAAATAACTGGTTATAGATTGAAGAGAGCGAAAAAATAGTGTGTATATATATATGATTATAAGATAGAATAAAATCGTGATACAATTGTGAAAGGGGGGGGGTAAAAATAAAAAAAGAAAAAGAAGTATAAATAAAAAAATTGATAGAGAGAAAAAATATATACAAATTTGATTACGTTGTGGAAGCCGGGAAAATATATGGAAAAAAATTGATGGTGCACGACATTTGGAGCGCAAAGTAGGCTAAAATGACACGGTTGTAGAGTTTGCAGCGGGGGCACAACCGGACCTAGAAAGGAAAATGATAGAGTAAGTTAATATAATTGATATAAATTTGAAATCTGACCCCCCCTCCCGACCTGTCGTACCCGTGAAATAGCGGTAAAAATTTTGAAAATTTAAGAAGTGAAAGAAATTATAGGAGAAGAGAAAAAAAATTTAGGAAAAAGAGCGATGAAAACAAAAGAGAATTTGAGTTAGAAGAGAGTAAAGTTATAATAAGAACAAGGGGAATGCAAATAGAGAAAGATAAGAAGGAGATTAAGAGATAAAATGAATTTTAAAGAAATGAGGAAAGAGAAATAAGTATGGAGAGGAAAAGTAGAATTTTTAATTGTAATATTATAATTAAGAATAATAGAATATATATATTGATAAATATGTTTAATTAAAATTAAATTTAATTTAAAAAATTAAATTTAATATTTATTTATTTAATCACTTCGGTCTATGCATCGCCTTCTCCATCATCCGCACTCATTCTCGGCGAAAGTCATTCTACCTGTATATTCATCCAACTCACCATTTATTTGACAAATCATATAACGTTCAGCTAACGTTCCCGCTGAGGAATTCATCCAGTACCTCTGTGACCAGCTTCAGCGCATCATTTGCAGCACCGACCACCAGCGAAGACAGCTCCACCAGCGTCTCAAGGGTGTAATATAGCATCAATTACGACCGCGCGTCTAGCAACGCCACCGACCGAACAAGAGCGTCTAAGAGGGACTAGAGGAGAGATGTGGCAAAAATGGTGATATGAGTGCCGTCCACCTTCTGCTACTTCTAACGCTCGTACTCTCCATTCCTGAACGCTTGCTGCCTTATCTATACCTATAACTATCCTTCGAGAGCTGTTGTCGCTGGTGGAAGCTCTCTATCTATATTCAAAGTTGGCTGATGCTGCTGGGTCGGAAACTCTGGAGTCGCTGGTGACGCTGCCGCAAGTATGGACGCAGCGCTTACTGTTCTTAGCTATGCGGTACCCAATTTAAGATGAGTAAAAACAAACGACGAACCCCACTTAGCAATGATGATGCCGCATCGTAAATTAGTTGGTGATTCACTATTGGAGACGATTGAGCAATCTTACGCTAATTAGGTCGTAAGGAAAAGAGATCGCCCGCTTGCAGACCCATCAGACATTTTTTTCGAGTGTACTCTGTCAAACCCAATCGATACGCTAGGTTTTCTGTTGAATACAACCCTCAAGGAGAGAGAGAAGTAGAACGAGAGAGGCGATAGCCGTTAAACATAGGAAAACGAATATGGAACGTTCGACATAGCTACCGAGAGCGAGTGGCTGCCGTGTTGCTACGTATGGAATCTCTCATGAAGCTCTAGTGGTCTACTGACAAATATTATCGCCGGATGCCAAAGGAGTGGAGAAGTTAAGTGAGAAATGGAATGCATGAACTGCTAAACACGTTCATGACAAAGAGATGACATGCAATGAGAAAAAGCTCTTGCCCACCTTGGGACTAGGCCACGCGCTAAAAGAGACTCACATTATTACAAGGTCCGTTTCGAGGCAATTTTAAGTGTCTACAGAGAGGCTCGTATTCAGCACTCATTTCGACTGACAAGGAGCCCACGTGGCACTAAATCTACAGCAAGGTATGAAGGGAGCGCCCATTCTGTGGTTTCCCTCTACGGTAGTCCTTGTGTGCAATGCGTTGACACTCTTTCTACTGTTCTAGTCTTGGGTATCGATGCTGGGGTTCCACGACTCGGAGGGGTTGTAGAAAAACTTCACGCCTGAAGTCTAAGTTAATTTGGGTATCCTCATGTCACTTCTCAAAGAATACCGCACCGCCCGCCGCATATTTGTTCCTTCAGCCCATCCTCTTTGCTGACAAAGAGTATGCTGCCGTGATCTGGCTGAAATCTTTTGCACAAAACCAACTTGACCGCCATTTTCGTAGTGATAATACGGAAAAAATGGTTGGTGTACCCTTGGGGTCGCCTGCTCTCGTGTTTCTCGTGTGTTCGACAATTCAGCTGACAGGAATGCCATTTGTTTTGAATGCTTCGTTGACAAAGTTTCGCAAAAAGGAAAGAAATTGCAGAGTGTTTCATTTCCTCGATAGTGCTGGAAGATCCTCAGATTAGCCGAACACTGGATCTCAGAAAATAGGAAATGAAGGATCAGGAAGCTAAAGATTATAAGTACAGAGAAAATAAGCCAATACAATTAGACTTTTCGAGCGCCTAAAGGGCCGCCCGAGAACAACAGGAAGACTGTATACACGAATTTATTCTAAATGTATATCCGTGTTCGAGTATCAGGGGTAATTACATGTGGAAATTAAAAATATATAACGAAACTACTCGTAAATTCCGAGAATTCCATAGCATTTTTCCAGAGAGTATTTGATCGGCATTTCGTTCCCGATAAAATTCGTACTGCACTATAAATCCTATGCACGTCGTGGCTTCTTAATTCCTTTTGTAGAAACGGACCGCTCGACCATTCGGAGAAGAACTGCCTGCCGAAGATTTGATTTTTGTGGAATGTTGACCCCTCTGCATATTGAGTTGTAGAAAATGGTCGACCATCACGCTAAAAAACCCAACCCATCTCACGACTACTGTTTATTCCTCTCGCTTCGCGGTTTGAACCATTGCCTCCCGACAACAGTCTACGATCATTAGTCTAATTTATAAAATGTCCTTACGTAAAACTCTCATCGCTTTAAGTTCCTATGGTATGTTATTAGTCAAATTTTTCTGTATTAGTATTGGTTGGGCGTTTTGTTCGTTGGTGGACTATCTGGATTGGACGTTCAACTTCCCATTAAACTTGTTGCAAAGAACAGGCTCGCTATCATGGGTGTCACGAGGTAAAGATATCACTTCACTCAGGCAGCAAACTCCAGTTTTTCAACAAAATTTTTATGGGTTGAAAATTGCCTAGAATAGTCAATTATCTATGCCATGTGTAGAAAGAAAACAACGGATATCATTTTTATATTTGGTTTTCTTTGAGGTTATCGCTTAGCTTATCACTGCTTCTTCTGACGGTAGTTCTTTACGTTCACCATACTAACTTTTATGCTCAAATTTTGTTCTACATGGCGGGCATACCGCAAGGATTTTTTGTGCCGACCTGAAGCGCATGTAAGCACTCTGCAACGGCTTGCTAGGCATGTCGTGATGTCGGACGATGTAACTTCCTTTCTCCTGTCTCATCCATTACCTTGTTCCTTGGTAATGGTTTCATAGAGGCTAGGAGAGGAGGGGGGGGCGGGTGGTGTCAGGAACAGAGAAGTAGGAGCGTTGAATTTTGAACGCATCAATAGTCTCTTCTAGGACGTGCTCAGCGTATTTTTACTATATTCAGAGCGTAGCAACATTTCGAATGAGAATCCAACTATGCAGTAAAACCTGCCTTGGGGCAGTACCAGTGTGTAATATTTTAGTCCCTTCCCGAGGCATTATTGGTTCCATTGACGATCCGTGGAGGGATGGGAGGCTTGTCTTATTGTGTTATCATGATTCATCACCTCTTTTTATATTTTTGAAGCACTTCGCGTCATTTACCCTTTTCCTCAGGTTAGACTGGGAGTAACGCTTTAAAACAACTTGCCTACAAAAGCCTTCAGCCCTTGCGGCTTCATCTGCGATATCGGGCTTAACCGGGCCCCTCAATCACGTTGAACGTGTGAGTGCTGTAAGGCTATGGCACAAATAGCCATTGAGCTGAGTGGTCAAAAGTGGCCTCGGTAGCGTAATAGGGAACGCAACTGCCCGGTAAGCAGAAGATGCGGGTTCGAATCCCGTCCGTGGTCCGACTTTTGCCCATAACTCAGCATTCTTGTGATAGTAACGATAAAAATGGTTCGTTTAGTTAAGAGGCGTAACGAACCTCTTCAGTTTGCTCTGTATGTGATTTAATCATTCAGAGGAATTCTCTGTTTTGTCTCTATTGATAGGTTCAGGCAGGAGCTGTTCCGAGATTTTTCTGCATTCTTTGTCTGAGAGCGAATGCGTTTCGAGATGTCTCATATCTTGTTGAACTTACTTTTTGTTATGTTACAATTTCTCTTGCCGCCGCTTCGTATACTCCAGACCCCTGGGAGGCGGTAGGAGTGCCTTCCTACTTCACATGATGGCTGCACTTTTGCCGGAATATTTTTTCCAATTCGGGACCATTGTAACCATGTCTTTGTCCAACGAGGCAAGGTGGCTCTTTCAGATTTTCATCCTATAACCTATCCTACACCATGTTTGAGTGAAATGCACAGCCGCGCTTATCGCGCATCTCCCAGGGGAAGTATGAGATAAAATACTGAAGCCGTCGTCCTTATTACCGAGAACGAATAACTTTTTGTAGTCCAACGGCATTTTCCTTTGGCTTTCTCGTCAATGGTTCTTCCTCTCGCTACGCTCGTTAACTGGCACCCGAAGGAGTCCGTAAACATTACAACCTCTTTGTCGCGTCACCAGTGAAGTTTGTAGCGAAATATCATGACACAGTACAGCGAGTTCTCGAAGTGAAGTACACGTGAGCTTGTGGTTACTCTTCAGAGTTGGTGAAGAAGATTTGCCACAGTAAATCTAAATTTTCGAAGAAAATAGTTCTGTAGAGTAAGGATCAATTTTTTTGAAAATCGCTTTTTTACAAATATGATACTTCAAATATAAATTGGGATTATTGCAGAGGAAGTATCGAGCAGCTAAAGAATCTGGTACATCTCATTGCTGGTGGACAGATAGAAGCACCAGATTATGTCGTGTATCCAGTAAATCAAGCATCACAGGTTCGTCGCTCACTAATTTTATTTTATTATTATTTGTTTATTCATTTAGCGCGTTATTCAAAGGCGCCTTCCACAAGGCGTACTTCGGCTACGGGGAAAGGACCTTTTGCACTTTCGCTGCTTCACAAGTTCCGGTTTGTAAGTTCCTACTTTGGGGGGGGGGGGACCTGTGAACTCTTGTCTTCATTCTTCGAGTGAGCACCAACTCCTGAGGCCTTATTCGGGGAGGGGGGTGGTGTTTCGACGGTTTTGTCCACTCCTTTTCCACCGATAAGTCATCTGCGAATTCATGTTTGTACTCCCAAAACGAGCGAATTAAGGTCGCTTAACATAGAACCCACGAATGAAATGCACTTGTATGTGCGAAAGACGAAGACAGGGCGTGATTCACTGATGTACACGGGTTCTTTTTTGTTGGTATCACAGGGATATCAGCTCTTTTCCCTTAGTTCATCTTGTCCTCACTCTCACTCGTGATGAGAGAGTTAGTAGCGAACCACCAGGAGCTCTTCAGAAATGAAAATTGGGCGTTGCGGTGTCCAGTGGGTGGGGAGCCGGCTTCATCGCGAGCGGGTCGCGCTTCCGTCACGTATTTTTTACTGCGATAGTAATACATCTTTCATGGATTCGGGCAGGACTATCATGTCCAAAGAAGGAAGTTTGAACATAGACTGAACGCCAATCCTGCTAAAGCTTTAGGACGTCGTTTGAAGCGAAAGAGTAAGAGCAGATCTGGAAGCTGTGCGGAACTAGTAATCCTGTCAGTTTACAACTAAACTATAGACGTTTGCATTGGTTTTGCAGGTCTTGAAACAACTTTCAATGTCCGAAGTCGAAGGCAGAGCGATCCTTGGAGGTGTGCGACCCTGATGCGGCACTTGATTTGTCGAAAGCGGCAGCAGATTAAATGCGGGCGAACCATCAATTAATTGAGTGAATTTAGTTAGTTAATGTTGAGGTATGCCTTGACAAGTGTTAATAACGATCATGGCTTTCCTGCCCCTTTAATTTGTAAGCCGATTGATATTCACGAAATTAAACACTTGACAACTTGTGAGATGCCATGCCAATTTCTCAAAGTGTGTGGTCGTCATGGTTTTCATTTAAGTCTAGGGAGTTGTATGTATTTTGTCTACGAATGTATTTACAAATAGATTAGTGAGTCGTTCATTTTGTTTGTCCATTTTACTATTTTGAATTTGATAATCTAAGTCAGACATTTACATAGTCTATAAGCTGATAATTTGTTCATGTTAGTTTCCCGAATGATTCACGCCATAGTAAAAGTTTATTTGCAATCGTTGTTGTGACTTCCAGACACGATATCCGTAGACACGGTAAATGTCGAACAAAGTCCGTGTTTACATCAGTCACGAAAAAGAGCCTTGAATTTTGTATTGAAAGGTCGTGCTATGGTTTCACAGATACATTCTCAGGATCGTTTTGGCTCGAGGTTCGTGATGTTAGTCACTGCATCGGGGGTGTTTCTGCTGATCAGTACTGCAGAAGCATGCCAAGACCCTGCAGCCATCGTTGAAATGGGGCCAGGTGGTCACTACGACAGGGACACCAAATAAACTCGCCATCGCGAGGGTATGTAGGTAGTGTAGGGAAGCTCCTCATTGGATGTTATTATTGCAGTGCGGCACCTTAGAGACTTTTCAGTGCGAGGTTCCTCCCTCGAGATTTCTTTCCTAATTCTTTATCTTTCCTGAGAGTTTTCTTCTCGGCGAAGAAAGAATTTCTCTTTAAAATTATAGGACAAGTGCCACCAATGGTGGGCAGGCCGAAAGCCAAGTCCACCAGCCTCTCTCCCCCCCGCTCTCCCCGGTTGCCCTGCACATTCAGGCCAAAGGTAGCTGACTCCAATGGCCTTAAAAAAAGGGTCGTACTTCGCGGAAGGAACAGTACCTGATCCTTCCTGCTTTTTCTCTCCGAAAGGTACAGCAGTTCCCCTCATCTTAGGTTCTCCTGATTTTTGCCTATGTGAACCGTTCCTTACGGGATGGCGCTGGTGTGTAGTAACCAGCTAAAAAAGGCTTCATTCCTTTCCATATTTTATCGTTCCTTTTGTACCTCACATCGGTTATTTCTGGAGATTTCGAAGATAAAGAAGTACGGTTGACGAACAGACCATGATGACAATGCGCGGAAAGAAAAACTGTATGCGACCACCATGTGCTTCAAGTGCATCCGGCCACGGTTGCCGCAGAGCGCATAGTTAGGGAACAACATCCATGATGTGCGGCATTTACGAAAGATCTATTTGCATGTGAAACGTGAAGATGGCTGAAATGGTGTGTTGTTACCTAGCTACGTCTTTCGCTTATGTATGGTGCCGCATTCTCGGATCTCCTGTACGCCCGTTATCGAGGCGAAACTGAATTGAGCTGCGGTTAAAAGGACTGAGTTTATCTGTTGTGCCGATTGTGCGTTTGTATGTCAAGAGTACTGGAGTTCTAACATTAGGTTTTTTTTAACACAGCTGCTTAGCTCAGATTTGCAGGTCTCATGGTAACGGAACCTGAACACGTCATGAAATTCGAAATTCTTCGCACAGCTGGCAGAGCTCGTCATGGCCTGTTATCACTGCCTCATAGCGACGTAAAAACGCCTGTGTTCATGCCAGTGGGGACGCAAGGAACAATGAAGGTGAGCTAATGTGGACATTCTACATTAAGCCGAGGCACTATGGTTGCTGCGAATTCCATTTAGCCAGAAAAGGAATGACGATTAGCCCGCCAAAACTGGCCAAGCCAGAATAATTTTACCAGTGTGTGCATTTGCGAACTCGGCTTTTTTGGAAGGATTTGCGTTTCCCCAGGCAGAGCTATCCAAGCCTCCCTTGGAGCATCATTTTTGTGTGCATAGGTTTTGAAGCCCTTCTTTCGTCGTCCATAAATGCTAATTCCTTGAAGTGGGCGGGATGAGAGGGAGGGGGTCATCGATTAACTGATGACACGTTCGTTTTATTCGTGTTTTGATCTCTGTCACCTTCGTTCATGGTCATTCTCTTTACGCTTGTGTAGGAGAACACATGGGATTATCAGGCCTATTCTCATTTCAATTTACTTTTCATTATTATAGCGATTTACATTTGGGGAAAAACCTCTCCTATGCCTTGCTGACTCATCGACTGACACGCTGCATTCAACAACGGAGAATATTTTCAGGGTGTTTTACCTGAACAGCTGATCGCAATGGATTGTCGGATCCTTTTATGTAATACATACCATCTTGGGCATCGACCTGGTCATGAGCGTGTTCAAAAAGCCGGAGGATTGCATAAAATGATCAACTGGCCGCGATCGATTCTGACAGATTCTGGTGGTTTTCAGGTGAAAGTTCAATCTTAAATGCAGATTCATCTTTGTTTCATCTCATTCGGGTTGTGCTTTGGATGCGAGGTGCAGTGAGATTTTGATAGCTATGAAGTCGAAGACAAGCTTTACGCTCACTCGTAGGATCCCATTCCTTGCCATGTGCGGAGTGAATAGGTCTTCAGCGCTCAGTGCACAGGAACGCAACAGGAGGATAGTTATGCCCGTCTCCCGACTCCACCCCCACTGCTGCACGGCCAGCCACACGCCTAACCATTACGTGCTGCTTGTCTGCACCCTCTCTATCTTTGACCACGTTTTCGCTGCGGTGTTTTGGTATTGACACAAAAGCTGCACCTAGAAGACTGCCCAGGCACAGTTTCAAGCTTCAGATAGAGTTCAAGGCATATACGTTGAGGCAGCGCTTGTAAACTAGCAAAGATTCCCTAGTTGTTCGATTTGTCTGTTAGGTCGTGATGCGAATGCCGAACACTTGCACCAGTTGCAACGCTTCTTTCGCATCCTTCTCTATAACATGGGAGTGTTGAACTGGACCAGTGCGCTTTCAGTGATTCAGTATTTAGCATTCGGAATTTTGTGAACTTCGCGAGGGTCGCACTCACACCTGGAGAACAACCGTACGCTACTCGATGGACCCTCATACTCAATCCGCCGACTATTGCACATGGATTGTAGGGGCAGTAGTGGTACTTCAAAGACGAACTGTTCACTCACTCTTCGACTCCTCGCCGCGAATGCAGCCGCAACGGCACACCATTTTGGTCGGGGCCGGGGCTGGACAGTGGCGATTCACTTGTGCCGTCTCCATACTGCGTGCGCGCCAATCTCAGTGCGCGGCACTCACACTTTTACCTCAAGGTCTCGCAGCGAAGTACGCACTCAGCGGTAGAGAGACCACAAGTGAGAGGGCGCAGAGGTGTAGCGCATTTGGCTATGATTAGGCGTATGGCTGCCCATGACAGTGCGCGGGCGGAGTATGGAGACTGTACAGGGGTATGTTTTCCCTGAGATCACTTCTCGTCCTACTTTCGGACCGGAAATGGCATGTTAGTGCAGCTGGGGAGCCCGTTTCTCGTTTCTGCACCACAGTGTTGGCAAGGATCTGGATCCAGATTTGAGTGTATCAGTTTTTTTCTCGATAGAATGGCTTGTGTGATTACCGGCACTGACATCTCTAGCACAAGATCGATGATTACCCTTGCTAACATATGCGGGGCTCATATTACATTTCTGACACGAGCGCCGTAGAAACCATGCGTACCCTCATTGAGATATCTCCTGTATAGTGTCAAAGGTGGTCCAGGATCCCGTTTATGATGTGAGCGGTTCGATAGTCGAGTCCCGAATCGCCTCTCTCCCGGGCCAACCACGCTCCATTTCCCGGAGGCCGGTGCATTAGAACTTGACTTGCCCGAATGGGTAAAAAATCTAATTTGTTAACAATAGGCCACCGCTCGACCCTCTCTTTCCCTCTGTTTACTTTGGTATATGGCGACATCTCACTTCAATAACGTTCTCCCGCCTCTTATTCTTTTTCCGATGTGCGAGTGAATCCGTACTACAAATCTGCTCATCGCAAAGCTCATATCTGCGTTCAATTTCCCAATTCCAGATGGTATCGCTAAGCAAACTAATGTCCGTCGACGAAAACGGTGTCAACTTTGAGAGCCCTCACACAGCCGAAATGATGTCATTGACGCCGGAATGAGTATTGAAATACAGCAGGTGGGGGGGCGGGCTGTTATTTTCGGACTTGCACGGATTATTCGTCGTTAAAATATTTAACAGGCTCTAGGTGCCGATATCATGATGCAGTTAGATCACGTTGTTCATGTTCTTACAACAGGAGAGATAGTCAAGGAGGCAATGGAAAGGAGTGTCAGGTGAAGAGGAACTTCAAAAAATTTGAAACTATTTTGATTTTATGAAATACGCTGGTCCGTAAAGGTGGTTGGATCGTTGCGAAAAGGCACACACTCGATCGGATCAAACTCTTTTTCCCATAATACAAGGTGGACTGGATCTCGAATTGAGAAAGAAGTGCACTGACGAAATGGCTAAGCGAGCTAAGGTTTGTGTTCTTCCGTAAGTATCCATCACAGTATTTTAGAGCTCTCATTAGTGACTGTAGGATCGCGATTTTCGTGGTGTACTGACTACCTTTCATCACATATTAGTGCAATCTGAAGCTGCGCTCATTCCTTCTCCGGATGTCATTTGCAGCTGTTGACACACTAGAAGCATGAAAATCCAATCTGTTCGGCGGAACAAGCATTCATTAGTGATTGGAGGAGACCTCATTGCGTTATGAACCTTAATAGGTGATTTGACGCGTTTGGGAGGGAGAGCAGTCGTTCCCGCGAAACGTCAAATCGCCTTCTCCATTCTCTCATTCTTTCGCGAAGTATGGACGCAGCCTAACCTTTCAACTCTTGCCTAAGAAGTGATTTAAGTGGAGTAACAAGTGTGAAGTAGGAGGTAGTTAGAAGAGCAGCATGCAGCAGAACCAGGGCACTGCGTTCCCGAATGGGGGTCTTCGAGCGGGGGTTCGCCTGCGGGGAGGGGTCGCACTTGCCTTTTGTAAACTGTTTTCGGATGTCTATTTTCTTTGGGTTTCCTACATGCCGTATCCACCTCCTTGTTCCCCTCCGGTCAACGGCATTTGTTTGGGGAAACATGAAGGTTTTTTCAAAAGAAAGGTCTGAAAAAGTAGTAGAGATTTGGGACAACATATAAAAAAGAAGATATATATGTCATCGATGTTTGGTAAGGGGAGACATACCAGAGGGCAAAATCCTGAGGGGGTGGTCGTTTTCGCAAAAATCTTCTCCAACGGCAGGCCCTGAACATAAGTGGGTCACTGTGGGCCCTTCTCATACCCGTCGTGTCCTCCTTACCGTCAATCAAACTCACCAAAAGCCATCTCTCAAAAGACATCAGACGCCGTGTTGCTGCGGGCTGTCTATCACTATCATTGTCCCGAGCACGTACAAATTCACTAAGAAGGGTGTATATTGGAAAAGTTTCAACTTTAGAAAGCTTCAGGTTGGCATTGCAATCGGCGGTTTGTCAGGAGGAGAAGAGAAATCCCAGTTTTGGCGGGTGGTAGCATCGTGCTGTGAGGCGTTACCAAGCCATCTGCCTCGTTATGTGATGGGTGTTGGTTTCCCTGTGGACTTGGTGATCTGCTCCCTATTAGGGGCCGATATGTTCGATTGTGTTTACCCAACAAGGACGGCAAGGTACGTTCACTGTTCCTATTCCTACTGGCGCGTGAATAAACAAGAACCTTACCACTTGCAGATTTGGCACCGCTCTCGTTCGTCGAGGTGGTCTGATGCACTTGAATCAGAAACAGTTCGCCGAAGATTTCAAACCTATTGAAGAGGACTGCGATTGCAACACATGTCAGACCTATAGTCGTGCCTATATCCATATGATAATGAATAAGGTAGGAGCCAGTTCACGATTTGAATGGTGTCCGCAACACATGGTTCAATGTGGTTCGCTGCAGATGATGGGGCGTGTGTGATAGGCCAAATTTGTAGCGCGGGACACGGACCCCACTCACGAAGCCGCAGTTGAACCAGGCGCAATAGCTTGATCGTGCGGCTGGTTTGTGGCGGCTCATTTATAATTATTCCGGAACGCTAAGGTTTTCTTGGTCAGCTGTACGCGCTCTGCCATCTCTCTAATATTTGGGTGGGTGGTGTAGTAACAAGTGGCATCGTATGCCACAAATGCAGTCCGGGGTCGAGCCCTTTCCGAGCCAATAGAGCCTTCATTCCCTCCCGGAATCAGCACTTGTTGTAGAATTGTCTGAAATCACTGGCGAAATTAACCCAAAAGTCAACTTATGGGCCAAATACAGGGTCGCAAAGAATCAGCCCTGCAGTGTCCGAGGGCATGTTCTCCAAAATCGTCGGTTGCTCGAGGGCTCCAGCAGGTAGCATAGAAAACCGAGACTCGACCTGGATGGCTGGAGTGTTGGAAGATCATGAAAAAATGGTAAATCACCTACGGAATCTGGTAAATCACCTACGGAATAACCCCGATGTTCCGCAGGGGAGTGGCACGAGCCTGCAGTCAAAGCCGTTCATCATCCTAAAGAGACAATCTTTCCCTTTCTCGAATATGGAGAATTGTCGTTTTATGGGTCCTCACCAGAGGACAATCAGAGCCTGAAGGCTGAAGGCCTGTGCCTCTTCCGCCCAGGCTAGGAGTATTTTGTGCAAATATGGTGAGCGGAGGCGGATCCTTCAGTAAGAACGATGAGCCGCACTTCTTTACGAAAACATTCAAAGCCTAGAGGCCTATGCTGGACAGCGGATAGCCAGCTCCCATCCCCTTAGCGGGAGCTGGAGATTTCTGAGAAAGCTCACAGATATTTCCTCCGTTTTTCTGCGAGAGGCTTCCTAGCGAGCTACATACGCATCCTCCGGCATTAATTCCTTAAGTGTCGCCCAGGTCCGAGAGAAATCGCGTCAATCACGACGACTTCACAAAACACGACGTGAAAAATCATAGCACAGGAAATGGCCTAGATGATAATCTTGAGGCTTGTCAATTAAAGTCCTTCATATCAGCGGTCTGCTGGGGAACATTTTTGCAAGATACGATTCCCAAATAGATTTTCTGTGCAAAATTCACTGCACAACAAAGGAGGGATAAATAACAGAAAAAAAGCAGCTACCGAACTGTCTATAGGCCTGACTGAGCCTGCAGTCTCTGAGGTTTCTGTTACACGATACACCGCCAGGGACCACCCGTTACCCACCTTGGGAGAGTCCCATTGGGAGGGTGGTGGCCTATTTGCTCTCTTTCAAACGGTAAAGCGAGGCAAATATTGACGCCCTCTCACATGGGACTCTCCCAAGGTTGTGGGTAACGGAGGGGTGTAAACAGCTGAAAAGAGTCAAACTATCAAGAAAAAATTTTTTTCGACACACGCGAGATTGCCCCCACTCGCCTAACTACCAAAATATGATTCCCGCAAGAGGATTCCTTACGACATGCCCTAACCCTAGTGGTATTCGCGCGCGGTAAGACGCTGGTCGCCACCGAACTAGGAGCCCTGGCCCAATTTCTCATAGGGTTCACCACAGGAATCCAGTTCTCCGTGGAACACCATTTCACTTAGAACGCTTACATACCCATAATTCAGAAGCGAAATCATTTGTTTTGTTATACCTTATCTTTGGTACACCTTTTCTGGTGGCATCCCATGGTACAAGCTATTTATCAGGGCACATCCCATTGAAGAAAGCAAACGGCGGGGTAAGGGTCATACCTAGCGAGAAAACAGGTCATTCACTAGAATTACTGCATCGTTAGTCTGAAGTTCGAAGAAAGTTCCATTTTAAATTTTAGGAGACGGTAGGATGCCATCTTCTGTCTGTGCACAACATCAGACATCAACTTCGTCTTATGGAAGACGTCCGAAATGCTATTGATACCGGTAAAGTACAGGAATTTCTGGACAAATTCCTGAAGGAATCTTTCCCTACAGAACCAATTCCGCAATGGGTTCGTGATGCTGTTGAGTTTATGGGCTATAAGCTCTCTTGTTAATCCTGTTTTTCAAGCAGGCCACATCATGAGTCCTTGGAATTGTGGAATTTTGGGGTATCTTTTGTTTTCGTTGCTTCCTGGTCAAACCTACCCTCTCGAGGGAATTTTCATGGCCGATTATGCGAGTGCTGATGGGGGGGGGTGAAGACCTTTCCTAGCTGATCGATGTGCCTTGTTAGCCGGAGCAACGGGCTACATATCCATTCATATTCATTACTGACGGCGTACTGTAAGCCAGTTAAGTGGCCATATAGTTGAAAGTTCGTCTAGGCGCGTGAAAACACCAGCATTGACTCTGAAACCACACTGATGCTTCGGTTTTTCATTGAATGAAAGAAGTCTGGTGTGTTTTGTCTCCATTAGATAGGGTTGAAAGCAGTGAGCACGATTGCTAGAGGAAAAGCGGGACGGTTGTTGTCAGCATCATTGGTATAAGGGCTTCGACAGGGGCATTTGGCCACACCCCACTCATCGTTTCGACTAATGAGGTTTGGCATAACCACCCGCCCTCAGCGATCGTGCCCACTGCCTTCAAAGAGAGGGGGGCTACAATGAGCAGCGCCTCAGTGAATACTTAGATTTCGCTCCGAAAGTCTAGGAATCGCGAAGAAACGGTGTAGGAGCGAGAGAGGGTCTCTATAAAAGGCTAAGGGGACCCGTTAAACTACACCTCACGACCCCTTCCATCAATGAAGTTGGACGACAAGACCATACCTCCAGCAATCATGTCCGTGCCTTTGACCTATTTCTTTTTGTTACTCTCTCGTCAAACTGTCTTGTGTGTGCATATCTGATTGCGTAGCGTGTAATATGGTGTTTTACGTACAAGCTTACAAATTCATTAAGCGCCGCTTTGGGTTACGGTACTCTAGCGGTAATACTGGAATAAGATATTTGACTGAGACTGAGGTAGTGATGAAATATGCACACCCATAAGCCAGATAAGCCTGGAATCTTCCCCCACCTCTGGAAATGTTTTGTAATTTGTTATTTCCATGTTGTTGTTTCCATGTTGTTGATTTGAACCATTGTTATTTACAAATAAATATTGCTCTTGTGTGGAAACACTATAATTATATACTTTATTTTTTTCTCTCTCTCTCCATTAAACAAATTTTTTCTTTTACGTAAAAGTGAAACCGGCAGTTCTGTAGGTATTATATACTTTTTCTATTGAGTTAGCATAAGCGGCTGTACGGATGTCCAAGCCTAAGTTGTATTTTCGAGCGGTGCGGATGATTGCTTCTCCTGAGCGGGTCATCGTGTATTCAAGACCGGAATGTACGATATCCTGAAATGGATATTATAGAAACGTGACACTACTAGGTGGAGCACAACGAGCCATCTAAAGCTATATTCCGCGATAAGCACATGGGCGGAGACCAAGTGTTTTTTCCTTCATTGGTGCGTCCCTCTTCTCAACAGAGAGTTGTGTGCCAAAGAGTAAGGACAGTGGTAGTGAGTCTCCGCCCATCCTGTTATCGCGGGTGGTGCCGTTAAATTTCGTGAAGATCATTACCTTTTCACTAGCTCCAGCAATTTTAGCAGCAAATGCAGAATTTGGAATTACAGGAGCTTCCTTGCCGATAGCCTTCTCCAATGAATCTTGTACAGATTCTGAAAAAAATAATAATTAAACAAGTAAATGATAATAAGAGCATGAGATAAATAATAAATGATAATTAACAAATTAAGGGACTCTTTCTTCATGAAAGGCAATGTGATATGGAATTCGCTCATGCCTCCACTCAAACAGCACACTCTCCTGTGGGACGGTACTTGTCATTCGCGAGTAAATAGGTCAGTTGCCGCAGTGAGCCACTTTCTCTGCTTAAAAGTGCATGGATAAAAGGCTAGAGAAGTGGTGATGCCCACGTGCAAACCCCCACCTCAACTTACGTTACCACACGGACGGCCGCACGCCTAATCATAGCCAAGCGCGCTACAAGTCTGTGTCCTCTCACTTTTAGTAGTTGAAGGAGAAGTACCAGAAGCCAGGCGGCGTGGACGAGTAGCACTTTTGCCTTTGGTTGAGCTATGGCTGGTCGTGAGGCAGCGCGGGCGCAATCGGGAGTCGGCATCCAGATAACACTACACTCCAGCCATGGGCTGCGACATATTTTCCAAACACTAGAAGCCCACCGCTCCTATCGACACTCATCAATGGCTGCGTTCAGCGCAATTGCAGTGGTAGCACGTCGTAGTGCGTCGACGCGCCTCATCGCGAAGTCTGGACGCAGTCCCGGGAGGCGGCGTCGAGCGAGTGAAGTAGCGCGCAGTATGTTCCACAATGCGTCTCTTGCGTCCCTTTCCACCATATCGGACAACAACTCTATCTTATAGAAAAATTGATTGCCATTAATATCAGTGAAGTACAAGAGAAAACATAGTGTGAAGGGTCGTTTCTCGTGTACGCGAGCTAACACTTTAGACAACCCCATGCACAACGGCTGTCGGCGCGCGAGCCCTCCGGGGCGGCCCGATGGCTTGGGTAGTCTTCTCAGAGGTGGCCGCTCGTTGACGTAAACCATCAAGGTCTCAGGTATCAGCCCTTACCAACGTGGTCACTGGCTTCGCATGAGGAGCTTCGAAATATGAAACCGATGACTTACGCAGAAGCATTCGGTTGGAGTCCTCTTCATACTTGAAGCTAAGTCGACCGTAAGAGACGTGGTTAAGATTCTTCAACCATTCGAAGTATGAGACAGTCACACCACCAGAGTTGACGTACCTTAAAATTCATTTTTAGTAACTGAATCTCTAGGAATTGGGAGACAACTTACATGTCAGGGATGATGAGGCAGTTTCCGCGTTCAAGGAGAATCTTATCTGCAGCAGGAGTAGTCGGTCCGTTAGCTTGCCGCTGCCTCAGCGATAATCTAAAATCTTCTCTATACATGAAGATCATCGGAGATACAAATTATGACCGTACCTTTGCTTGATTCTGTTGGCATTCTCTTTGTGGATGGCCTTCTTTTTTTCACAGGCAGCGGGAAGCGAGGATCGTCGGCAGCCTCGTACAAGAGATCAGTGAATGGTTCGAAGTTCTTGGCTCCAGGGAAGTTCTATAAAGTGTGAAGTGAATGGGGATGTAACTGAAGCACTGCCAATCATCACACACCGTATATCACCATTTGGGGGGGGGGAGGGCGTGTCTACGGATTTAGTTGTGACTGGTAATGGCGGCTGCGTATCTGTGGTATGTTATCGGTTCAGAGCGAATGAGATACTCAAAGCGAGCGCGTCAACGTCCTCTCCTTCCGCCTACGCTTTCTTATACACACTCTGTCGTGTCCAAATCCTAAATGGGCAGCATAGGCGGCCCGATACAGCTCACAACTGTGTTCGTGGACACGCCCTCCACAAGGTCGAGTTATGAATATTTTTGCATGTGCCACGAAATCCGACCTAACCTGGAGGTCAAAAAATGTTTGGACCAATTGGGTAAAGGAGCAAGAAATATGCATGGCTGTTCACTGCAGGAGGAGGCAGGGGCGCCAAAATCCTCCGAAATTGCTTAGAAATCGGGAAGAAGCGGTGTAGAAGGTTAAGAAGACCCATACTTGGAGGGGCCCTGCTCTAATTGGTTGATAGCTGTTAGGAAAATGGCTATACAAATGGATATCTGCCCATGATGACCGGAGCATGTCATTGTGTGTGTCCCGCTCAAGCATAAACTCGTAATACATTTTCGTCTCTCCTAGGTAGCAGTCAGATTATTGAGAAGCCAGCTGCCCGCGGTGAGTAAGGCTTACGTCAAAAGGATTGTAATGGACCTGAAAGTTTCAAAATTTGGTTCCAGATGAATTCGGAGGATAGGAAAGTCAACCCAAGAAAGTACAGGGACCCCGGAGAGATAAAACATAGCAGTTCGTCTTCAGGCGTTGTCTATACCAGCGAAAAAGGAGGAGAAGAAAAAAGGCTCTCTTCTTTCTGGAAGACGCCAGTCCCACTTACATTGTGACAATCGGCGAGGCGTGCCCTCAGCTGCATGGAGTTCAAACTTGAACCCTGTACTTCAGGGCAACTAATGTAAGGAACGATTAAAGGCAGTTGGCACGATAAATCGCTATACAGATGTAGGATTTGTACGACTGGCTTAACAGAATTCCGTGACCTCGGACAGGCGCTCCGTGGCGCCTTTTCCAAGGAGGGTACCCCTATAACGCCCTATCGAGCAACAACATTCCGTCCCAAACGCCTTCCTCGCCCGCCCGCCCACAAACGGACGACGCTCGTATTCATTCATTTGCTGAGCAAATTATGAAGCAAAGGGATTGGTATGAAGCGGCCGTGATGCTGCATGCATATATGGGTACACATATGCAGCCGTATCTTCGGTAGCGGTGATTGATGCCTACGGGAAACTCGTCCGAAATCGATTTTCAAGTCACTGAGAACGGAGGCTTTTTCTTCGCCGGATTTTGACCGTTTCACTCCGTTCTTTCGCCATTTCCACTACATAGCGCCCTACTAGCATTTTAGGCCAAGTGGGGAACCATGAGCGGTACTGTCTATCAGTAGGTCTAGTAGTCCCAAAATCGACTAACCTTGATGGTGCCGTTCTGGTCCTTCCAGTCTTCAAGTTCCTTGGGGTGAAGTCCATCAGGATTGTAAACGGCACAGTCATACTCTTGAATTCCAATGATCTTGGCTCCAGCTCTGAAAACTCAGTAATGTCAATTTATTAATGAAGCACCGTATCTGCACATAACAGTATAGTGAGGTTGCCGAATTGCACACATGTCGGCTATAGTACGCAGTCAAAGCATGTTTCGGACGAGCACCATGATATGGAGAGAGATTAAGGCGGAAGGTAATTTATAATGAAACAGGATCGAAGTGAAGGGACCGATGCCATCGATAGGTAAGTCTCCTCCTCTCCTCCTTTACAAAGCGCAGTCTCAGTCCCCGCTATACTCTATCTCGTCGTGGCGGCTTTCTGAGCAGTATTCTCGAGCTCACAGCGTTCCTCACTGCTATCGCCGCACGCAAAACAGGCCTAGCACAACAGTCGATTCCACGCTGTAGGCTCTACTAACCATGCTGACGATATCCCGTTCTTTCATCGGATCACTTCTTCGCCCTAACCGCACTAGCCCTCCTATTCTTAATGCTCAAATTGTTTCGTAACGCTTTAACGTTGAGACGAAGAGTAGGTTTCTGACCCTATAGTAGGAATTAAAGATATTATCTCGAACCCACATCTCTACCAACATCCGATATTCTTCCCCCATCTTATCGTAAGAGCCGTTAGGCTTACTATCTCAAATGCGCCACTCCTGAAATGCTGGTCTTCTTCGGAATAGGCTCAACCCGAGACTTACCAAACTGTACTTTCTGCACTATCGGCTATGTCCAGCGTCATCCTCAAGTTGCCCTCCCGCATACTTTACCCCGGTCGAGCACGCGGAACCGAGTATTCTCGCTCCCGTGCGCGGCGTATGCCAAAAGAAGATGTTATTCTCGTGGAAGTCCTTCATCCTCATTATTCCTGGAATAGTATGTAGAGCAAAAGTGAAAAGGTCGCTATTTATGGTGCCAGTGGAGCCTGCTACAGGCTTTTTCACACTGGGTCTTTACATACCAAGGGGACATTCCGAGATAACTGGATGGGCGTAGAAGCGGCAGAAAGTCAAACTTTACCAATGTGTCGGGTCGCCAAGTAGCGGGCCCTTCCTCCAAGGGGGGGGGGGACACGAGGATGAACCACGAATGTGGGGAAAAGAGAGAAGCCGCGAATCGACATCTGCGATGCCTCTTCACCAAAACATTACCCGTAGGAACGCGTCTACGTTGAGGCGTAAGTTCTCTACTATGGAAGAGATTATATCTGATTGGTCTCCCAAATTGCCGTGCATCGTTCAACACAAGTATAGGAATCGCTACAGTACGAAGGCTCTTTCACTGCAAAAATATACCTGTGCAAGTAACGCATCGTGTGCAGACCCACATTACCGAAAACCTTGAATGATCACTGTCTTTCCCGGCAATCCAGTCGAAAGTCCAATCTAAATAAAGTCAGATAAGCGAAAATATTATCACAGTTTATTCAGCCGTCTGCCAGAAAAATGCCACAACAGTACTGACCTTGCTCATGTACTCCTCTTCCTTGGTAAACACCTCAAGACCCTTCCAAACTCCTCGACCAGTTGCCGAAACACGGCCATGAATACCTCCAGCTACGATGGGCTTTCCAGTAATGCAAGCGGCAGCGTCCTGAATATATAGCTTTTTTTTAATGAGAACCTTGTGACACCCTTTGAGTGACTTGCCCTATCGAGATGTCCGATGGTCTGAGCGTAAGTATCTGCAATCCATCCCATTTCACGCTCTCCAGTTCCCATATCAGGTGCTGGCACGTCAACTCCGGGTCCGAGGAATCCCTGAACGATTGCTGATTTGAATGGGTTCTTGTACAAATACGGCAAAACATAGCTGTAATATCTCCGCTCTGTCGTTTATGGCGTTTTTTCAATGTTTACATTCATGACGGACGCTAAACATATCATCCCACAAGAGTGTAATAGCGTGACGTTTCCGCATTTACAACGCACTTTTCTACTGGTACGTTGCACTTCGCAATGAACATCTTGATCAGATGAATAGAAATATAACCAGTAAAATGAAGGGGCAGGTTTTTCAGGGCCAGGGTGGGAAATGACCGGGCTACCAAGGGGTTGGGTGCATTTAGGATATCCGAGGCGCGGCACTGTGGCGGCACTTGCAGCCGATTGAATCAACGTTGCACTTAACCCAAACAGTCAGATCATGGGGCATGGGGCTTGCAGCTTGCTATTTAGGGCCGTAAAATGAATGGTAGGGGATGAGCAGCCATAACTACAGTTTTGTTCGCTGCAGACGGCTGGGAGGCGTGTCAGGAAGCTTACGGCGCCAGCTGTTCTCCACCATTTGTAAAAGCTTGCTGGC